ATAAGGTCCTGCCCTCAAAACAAAAGCACAAAGATCTCAATGATCTGATCTGCACTCTGAGCTCTGCATCATGCCCAACGACCATAATCAACCATGAACTACTGAATCTCCATTCTTCTAGTGAGGCAACTGATGACTGCCAGAGAAACAAGGGGAGGGCAGGCAGAGGACGCCACACTAGGCAGAAAACAGTAACTACCACGGGCCATCACAGCTCTCACTGGTCACAGTCACACACTCCCGTCTCCAAATCTCCTTCCTTCTCACTTACAACAAACATGAGCCCACTGTGTGAAACCCCGACCTCCTTCCTGTCTACCATCACAACAGCTGTTCCCTTCTCAGAAATGCTATGACACACTGTCCCTCCTCACCTGGATTTCCCAACCTTCCTCTTCAATCTTCTTCCCATCACTGTTTCCTCTCACTTAAAAAAAAAAGGAAAGAAAAAGAAAAAGAGAAAAGAGGGGAAAAAAGCCTCCTGGGGGCTTATAATACTTACCAAGCAATTTCCACTGCTGAGTTTTCTCTTTGAATTCAACAAATGGAGAGAAACTAGAAGGAACCGCTGCAAGAAATGGATCGTATGAACAAAACATACATCAAGATATACATGTAAGAGAGTGTTAGCCTCAGAATGGTCTGAGCTCTAGGAGAGCTTCTGAGTATTTTTTTGGTGTGCCAAGAAAGGAGAAAAAGGATGTGTCTGATGCAAATGCACTATTGTACAAATGAGCAGCTACAGTTTACTGCAAGAATTCTTTAAACAAAGGCAGGAAAACGATGAAACCTCACAGAAAGGACCTCACCTCGGCTTTCTCCAGCAAGATACTGTAGAGCAGGCAACACCAACTCAGCCCAGTTGGGGGCAGCAGAGAACCAGCTGTTGAGGGAGCTGGATGGAGAAGACTGCCAGTCCAAAACCCGATCCTCCAGCTGAGGGAGAGGTCAAGATGGAACTCAATAAGTTTCTCTTTACATCAACAATTCCAGGATGTGTCAGAGCAGCAGGGCATGTACATGGTTTGTCAAATGTCCAGTGTAAGTTAACTGCAGTACTGTAGAGGGTCCAGCTGAATTCTACTTCCCTCCAGTGCTGGTCAGCTTTGTCAAGTTGACACAGCTAGTCATCTGGGAAGAGAGCACCTTCCTTGATGGATAGCCTCTATCTGACTTCAGGGGGCAAATTTGTGAGGCATTCTCTTGCTTAATAATTGGTGTGGGAGGTCCCGGCCCACTATGGATAGCCCACACCTGGGCAGGTGGTCCTGGGTGGTAGAGAGAGCAAGCTGAGTAAGGCATGGGAAGCAAGCCAGGAAGCAGCATTCCTCCTTGTAACTGCCTTGACTTCCCTTCCTGATGGACTGTACCCTGAAATAAACCCTTTCCTCCTCAAGTTGCTTTGTCCATGATCTCTATCACAGCAACAGAAAGGAAGCAGAACCAGCAGCTGGAGACCATTGAAGAGCCAGCAAGTGCCAAACTTTAACATCTAAACTCTTACCATAGGAAGGCTAGCCTGACTCTCCAGCAAGATCTCTAACAGAAGAGAGAAAAAACTGGAAAATCGTTCATTGATTCCAAGGCAAGGCTTGATGTCTTCCAGGGGCCTAACAAGGAGGGAAGAAAATGTGTTTGATGTCTGGGCGCCACAAAGTAGAAGGGGAGTGCCAACTACTTCAAGCTGTACTCTGACTTCCACATATACAACATACACACATGCACACACACATACGCACGCACACGCACACACACACACACACACACACACACACACACACACACAAATGTTACGAAGTCTTTTTTTTTTTCTTCAATGTAGGAAAAATCAAAATGACCAAGAACACATACCAGATTGGTTCAAGTCCCCTAAGCCTCCTTATAAGCACAAGAACTCAAGAGCTTAAGAAAAGAGAACATGAGGCCAGGCGGTGGTGGCGCACGCCTTTAATCCCAGCACTCGGGAGGCAGAGCCAGGCGGATCTTTGTGAGTTCGAGGTCAGCCTGGTCTACAGAGTGAGATCCAGGAAAGGAGCAAAGCTACACAGAGAAACCCTGTCTCAAAAAACCAAAAAATAGTAATAATAAAAGAAAAGAGAACATGGTACATTCTCCCAGCAAAATCCCAGGGCAGAGTACACACAGTCAGCTCACATAAGTCCTGAGGAATGGACTCAGCCTGTCTTAACTCCCTCCCTCCCAGCACAGCCAGTTATCTCTGGGCCCCACTCACTCTTCCTTGATAGACGATATTGCCAGTGGAGAGGGGGCCTGTGAGAGAGTTGGGACCCCTTCAGTATTGCTTAGAGGCTCAGCCAGATCCTCTGCCTCAGATTTAATCAACTTTATTTTCTTCTTCTTCTCTTTTTCCTTCACCTTTTTTTTAAGAACAGCCAAATCATATAAAGCTAGGAAGGAGGGAAAAAAAAAACAACTCACAAAACTGCATTATGAAGTGAGAAGTCTTACCTACATTCACTTTCCCAAAGCCTGTCAAAGACTCAGTAATAAGACACTTAGATTGTTTTGAAAACCAAACTCAGTACATGACTTATAATTTTAACATCTAATGATATGCTGTGCTGATTTGGTTTGATTTCATTTTATTTGAGTATCCATGGGTATGGTACATGTGCATGTATAAGCATGTTCATGTGCATACATATATGCACATAGAGCATCTTCCTCAATCACTCTCCACTTTGTTTACTGAAGCAGGGTCTCTCTAGTCTAGCCAGTCCACTTGCCCAAGAGATCCCCTCTCGGCCTGCAGAGTACTGGGATTACAGCAGGCTGTGACACTTACCCAGCTCTTACATGGGTGCTTGGGGATATAAACTCAGGTCTTCACACAGCAAGTACCATATCCACTGAGCCCTCTCCCCACACCTTGCTGTGCTAATTTCAAATTCAGAGGGCAATTACAAACAAAAGTGGTCAGCATAAAGGAAGCTATGGTTCCACTCGTTTTCGTCACATACAGACAATATGTCCTACAATAATATCCCAAGTCAGGTGAAGGGATCTAAGAGGGACCCGTAGTCTTTTACCTGCGAGAGAGCCCTTCCTGCCGGCATTTACACGAGTCATGATGTCACCGAGGGTCAGGTCCCCTGTCAAAAGGTCTGGGTGATCCTAGATACAACATCAGAGATCTGGTTATAGAAGTCCAAAAAAGAACCCCAAATTGATGGCGACTGTGCCAATTTACCTAACAGATACAGATACAGGGGGACACCTGAGGTAATCATGTTGAATTAAAATACATAGAAATACCAACTACTGCTCTTCACATGGGGCACAGAAAAACCTGGCCCCCCTTTCTGCTATAGGGCAGCTACAGTTCATAAAGCCCTTCTGCATTCTTAGTTCACATGCTCATCAGATAGTTTTAATACTACTATAGTTTACAAGTCTGAAAATAAGATTATTAGGACTCAAGAGGTCTGCTTGCTATCAGTATAAGTGGAGAAGAGAGAAAGAACTCAATTCTCCCTCCCTAACCTTCCCACTTCACCCCTCTGCCTGACAGCTGGCTTCTCCACCTTGGTTGCCTTCACAATGACATGACAATGGAGGCAGCGCAACAAAAGGGAGGAGCACAGCTTTCACTCTTGGTGCTGCTGCAGGACCAAGGATAAACTCAGCCTCTGGGAATGAGAGGCAATCATGATTCATTCTCACACCAGTGTAACCACAAAGACTAAAGGAGGTTCACATTGTCAACCATGCCTTGCAAAGCCAAAGCACCTGATTGCCCTCTCACACCTCTGATGCTAAGTAGCCTGTCTTGCTGCTCCAGTCTCTGACAATGACAACAAAAAAGCACAATGCAGGTAGTGACTACCACTGTCTCAGGACAGACAAACCAAAAGCATCAGACTGAAAATTATGAATGGCCACTCCCACTGCAATCTTACTGGTTGATGTTTCCGCTTCTCATGGTGCTTCTTTAACATTATCTTCAGGTCACTGTCACCCAGCTCTATTTTATCTGAAAGTAAATGAATCAAACCACATGGACCAGATCATTCACTACGATGGTGCTCTAACTTAAATCTGCTTAGTCAGACAGTCAAAAGCAAGCTACTTCTGATGCTGTGTAATGTAAGCAGTGTAAGCAGAAAAGTCTTCACACAGTTTCAGGATCAGTATTCCATCATTTCTCTATACACTGCCCAATAAGTGACTTCAATTATGTAGCAGACCCATAAGCATACTCAAGAGGCTTGGCATTCTCCCGTTTCCTATTCCAAATTCAAGTTCTTTGTCTTTACAGCCTAGGGAGTTGCTATGGGTCTGGTTGCACATTCTATTGCTAGTTCAAGCAAGATTATGCTTTTTTAGCCCAAAATAGCAACTGATGAGCTCCTGAGGACAATCTCAAAACAAAGGAAAGCAGGGAAGCCTACCTCTAGATGGTAACAGTACTACGTGGTCCCACACTTCTCCAAATCTCTCACTTCTAAGCAGCAGTGCTGTTTCCTGTCCCCACCTCCCTAAGGGGCTCCACTTTCTACACCACGAGGTCTTGGAACTGCAGTAGCATCAGCTCAGTCCTCACCTGCTGTTTTCATATCCGTAGTGGAAAGCGTGGGCACCACCCTCAGGGGCACCGCAGGACTAGGAGAACGTGCTGGAGAACTTGGAAGCCATGAGCTGAGATCTTCAAAAGAAAATTTTTCTTGTAAATCCAACGTGGCTGTGGACTCCAATAGGGGAGATTGGGTAAGTGGCCATTTGGGTTGAACAGGGCTAAGCCAACAACATGGAGGCCAGGGTTCCACATTCCTTCCTGACCCTTCCCCAGATGAGCTGGAGCACACTTAGGTCATTTAAACGGCTCTTCCAGGAGAGAGACTTCAACAGAGTGATGGGGTCGCATTGCAGCAGGCCAACAGTCACTACTACTCTCCTGTAAGGGGAAAAGCAGTTCTCTCAAGTGGCACAATGGGACCAGAGGAAAGACCCTGTCCTGCAGGGATCTGTCCAAGATGTTCTCATCTAACCTAAGTGCCACAGGAGCACAAGAGTAAAGAGGGCATGTAGTCACCCTTGACACAATGTCTCAGCAACTCAACCACCAAGAGCTGGTGAGTCCCTCTCCCCCCCCACGGCTCCTTTATTGGGAATTACATGGCTACCACTGGCTCCAGTACCCTGGGCTCCCAGGACCCAAAGACACTCACCCTCTTCGTCAGAGGACAGGGCGGTGTCACCACACTCCTCCTTCACTTCCCGCAAGACCTTCAAGTAACGCTGCTGGGTCCGCCACTCCCGCTCCTCGGGGCTCCGGGATGGTGAATGGCGCTTGTGGCGAAAGGGAAGAGCCGGGCCACTCCTGCGAGCCATCTCCAACAAATCCTACCAGAGACCAGGTGAGGGGCCAGGTCAGCATCAGATCTTACTCTCTGCATAGTCTGCAAGTCCATGTTTTTATTCTCGTCAATGTTAAAAAGGCCTAAGTCTCACTCCTCCAAACGAGGAAATACACCATATTTGATCATGTATAAAGAAAAAGTATCTAGATTACTTAGTTTGATCATTCACGACACGAAGAAACAAAATCTGAAATGCCCTGAGTGCCAGTACAACAGCACAGGGGAAGAGCTGCCCTGCATCTCCTGGCAGAGACTGAAGCCCAAGCACAGGGACACATTGAAAACACTTGATAAAACCATTCGGTCTACACAGACGAGCTTCCTGGTAAACCGAAGTTTGTTTACAACGGTGCCTTATCCCAAAACATATATGCAAGGATTCCAGAACTCTGACAAAAATCTGAAATTCAAAATACTTCTGGTTATACCTTGCCAGGCGGTGGTGGCACACGCCTTTAATCCCAGCACTTGGGAGGCAGAGGCAGATGGATCTGTGATTTCAAGGCAAGCATCAACTACAGAGCTAGTTCTAGAACAGCCAGGGCTCTACACACACACACACACACACACACACACACACACACACACACATCCACAAAAAATATTAACTTACCCCTGCCCCCCAAAAGGAAAAAATTTTTAAAAAGAAAAAAAAAAAAGAAACAATTTACTAGAATGACATGGCAAAAAATACCCAATTTTGTGTTGACCTATTTCACTCAGAATTAAACTAAACACCAAGTATCTCTACACTAAATCTCAAGGAACAATTTAAAGAAATTGTAACAGGGTCAGTGAGATGGCTCAGAGGGTAAAGACACTTGCCACCAAGCCTGACAAGTCTGACCACTGGACCTAGACACAAGACAGAAGAGGACAGAGTCCAGAAGAGGACAGTCCCACTAAGTGCCACACATGCTCTGTGGCACACCCACACCCACACATAAGCACACTCTTGCACACAAATTAAGGAAATAAAAATGCAATAAAGTTAAGAACTTTAATAACTCTGCCTCAGAGAATTACTATTGGGGTTGGGAATTTAGCTCAGTGGTAGAGTGCTTGCCTAAAAAGCACAAGGCCCTGGGTTTGGTCCTCAGCTCCGGGGGGCAAAAAAAAAAGGGAGAATTATTATCAAACTGGAAGGGATCACGAGGCCACTATGTACTTGTGACAGAGGCCAGTATGTACTTGCATATGGATTCCAAGGGCATCCTAGATATCCTCAATAACCCGTGATGAGTATGGGTCCCTTTGCTTTTCTTTGTCAATACTGATTCGAGGAAGTACTTTGTTTTTCATGTTTCAACGTCTCTGCAATCTAAATAATTGCTCCTACCAGAATAAGGGAAAGCAAGCCCAGCTTTTGGCAGTGGTTCTTTTGGCTTTTGTATCAGAACCACTATTTGATGTTATGATGCTTGCCAGGTCACTGGCCACGTTGCAGACCTAGTTCTGAGCATTACTTACACTTCTGGAAGCAAGAATCTGTTTCAGCAGCCGATGGAAATACTGCTGTTGGGAGTTGAGATACCGCTTGTACTGTGACTTGAAGCAGAGCTGACGATACTTGACCACCTCAGGGTTAAAGTGTCCATCTTAAAAACACAGGTACAACTGTATGCATCAGTCCACACATATGGAATGAGTACACAAGAGATGCGGTTGTAGCACAGAAAGAAAAAAATGACTAGGAGAATCAAGAGAGACCCAAAAATAAATGAATGGTAAAAAACAATGACAGCTCAATTAAGTAAGGCTGGAAACCATAGTAACCACAGTAACACAATTATCTTCAGCAAAACTAGAAATGAAATACAGCATCAGTCAGAGAAACACACAGAAATCTGTCTCTGCCTCCATAACTTGTCTGTATACTTACCACACAAGCATACACTGTGGGGGATGCATAGCACTTAACATAAGGGCCCTTACGTATCCTCTAAATCCTGCCAGGGAACCTACTCCGTTTTGCATGAGGGAAGACAGTGTCCTCCCACCAGAGACCTGAGCCACAGTGAAAGAGAATGATACCAAACAAAGGAGAACTTGTTCTTAAACTAACAACACACCAAAGAAAAGCAGCTGTGTAGAGTGGTGTGCCTATCACCCCAGCTATTTGGAAAGCCAGGTAAGAGGATTATAAGCCCAGGTTAGGGCCACTCTGGACAACAAAGTGATGACTATTTCTTACAAAAATAAAGGGGCTTGGGCTGCAGATCAATAGCATATGCATGTGAGAATTCAATCTCCAATACCACCCGTTAAAAAAAATAAAGTGAGCTAGGCGGTAGTGGTGCACACATTTAATCCCAAGACTTGGGAGGCAGAGGCAGGTAGGTGATCACTGTGACTTTGAGGCCACCATGATCTCCACAGAGAGTTCCTGGCTAGAACAGCCAGGACTACATAGTAAGAGAAATCTTGCCTTTAAAAAAAAAAAAGGTAGCAGACACCACTTAACTAAATGACCACAGGCGGCATTACCAATGATGGAAAACTGATACCATGTTCCTCTGAAGTGGTATAATGGGAAGGAAGGAAATTTCCCATTCTTACCAAAAGCATGTGACACAAACATAGTGTGAAGTAATAAGAAAACAAATTCCCAGAAAGCAGGACAGTGTACAACAAAAATGTGCTGGGCTCTTCAAAAAAGCCAGTGTCCAGAAAGCAAAAGAGAACCCTTCATACATAGAACTAAACAGACACAAAATCAAAACACACTGCATGTTCCTTGAGTACTTTACAAATTTAAACAGCAACTTACAAAGACTTTCAAGAGTAGTTAAGAAAACAAAATGGCCAGGCAGTGGTGGCGCATGCCTTTAATCACAGCACTTGGGAGGAAGAGGCAGGCAGATCTCTCTGAGTTCGAGGCCAGCCTGGTCTACAAAGCGAGTTCCAGGACAGCCAGGGCTACACAGTGAAACTCTGTCTTGAAAAACCAAAAAGAAAAGAAAAGTAAGGAATATTCTATATTACTCACTCAGTGTAAATTTTCTTACAGTCAGCTAACAGGACTGTTATGAGGAGGGTGTCCTTTGTGAAAAGATACACACGTGTGCAAAGACAGACAGGAGTGGTGGCTGTGGGAGACCCCAGGCCTGCTAAAGCAAACACACTCTGCTAAACTCAAAGGCAGCCCAGGCTACACAATGAGACCCCATCTTTAAAAGAGAAAGGTGGACATGGTGGTGAGATGTCATGCTTTTTTTTCCCCCCAAAAGTTTAAAAATTAGTCATAAAGATCTTTAGGATGCTGGAAATGTTTTATTTCTTATGATGGTTACACAGCTACGTTCTATTATGTATTTTCTATCATAAGTCAATACAATCCTATTTTTTAAAAAGAGCACAGGCAGCAAATAAATACACAAAACCACTCTCCTCAGAGGTCACATCAGTACTTGCAAATGAATTAGAAAATGAAAGGCATGTGCGCCTAAGTGAATGTGTACTCAACCCTATCAAAAACAAAACACTGAGCTACAGACCTCGAAAGAGCTTCTGGGCAATGTGCAGAGGGTTTCCGAAGCGGAAGTTCTCCCCACTGAACAGGGCAAGGATGAGCTCATTCTGCTGCTCCACATTGTCTGTAGGAAACTGAGGCAGGAACTGCTGGAGATGTTCACGCTGAGAGTCACTTAGTACTTCCTGCCATGTGGAGAGGCTGACGACATCAAAGAATATCTCAGGCTGGGAGAATGTGGAGAAAAAGTAAGCAACAGATAAATATGCACTTAGTGTTTTGTGTCTATGCAGCCAAATTCACAGAACATAAAATTTACCATTTTATCACTATTAGGCACACAGTGAAGGAGTTGTAAGTATATTCACATGTCTTATGTAGCCATTATTACAATCCTCAAGTTTTTGTAAACGGACTAAAATTCTAATGATCTTGACTCATTCTAAAAATCAGAGATTAACTGCCTATGGCAACACCTACCTGTAATCCTAGTACTTGGAAGGCAGAGGCAGGAGGATTATGAGTTCAAGTCCAGCCTGAGCTACATGGCAAGAACCTATCTCAAAACAAGAGTTTACTAAAGACAGCGTTCAAACTACAACATAGCAGTACATAATCCAAAGGAAAATTATCGAAGAGAGAAGCCCATTTGGAAGCCATCTCTGCCAAGTAGGGTATGATGGCAGCCATGTGAATTCAACTTAAAATAAGACAAAAGAAAAAATTATTTGGGGCAGAAGAGATGTCTCAGAGGTTAAGAGCACTGGCTGTTCTTCTAGAGGACCTGAGTTCAATCCCAGCAGCCATATGATGGTTCACAACCATCTGTAATGAAATCTGGTGCCCTCTTCAAGCAGAGATGCAGGCAGAACACTATATACATAATAATAAATAAATAAAATTTTTAAAAAATTATTTGGGAGAGAGGTGTCTAAGAAGAGGTGACTAAAAAGATTAAAAAAAGAGAGGAAGTAGGATTGGCTTCCATTTTTTAATTAATATATATTTTACTTTGAGATATGTAGCCTTGACTGCCTGGAACTTGCTATGTAGACCAAACTGGCTTTGAACTCAAAGAGATACACATGACTCTGCCTCCCAAGTGCTGGGATTAAAGGTGTGCACCAAATCCAGCATGGACTTCATTTCTAATTCACTCGCTATATATTGGATGCACAGGTACCAAATAATGAGCTTAACACACAGTTACAAAGTAGTTTAAGAACTGCTAGTGTTCAGAAGTACATAGCTCAAGAATGTCTACCCTACATAATATTAAGATAGTTAAAGGGGTTGGAAAGGGGAAAAACACACTGGAGTTAGAACAATGTCACAGAAGCAACAGAATCAACAGCAAAGAAGAATAATTATCAATTGGGGGAAATGAAGAAGTAATGAAGGTAAGACAGAGAAAAATACATAGGAGCTTAAATGGCATTGATTCTGTACTACCCTAGGTGGTAGCTACATAGTTTTAGGACAGATGGAATCTATTGATTTATGGTGGTTTCATTTTTTTTTTTTTTTTTTTTTTTTTAAAATTAATTTTTTTTTTTTTTTGGTTCTCCCTTCCCTTTCCTTCCTCTAGCCCCACCAGGTTTGGTAGCCCAGGCTGGCCTCGAACTCACAGAGATCCGCCTGGCTCTGCCTCCCGAGTGCTGGGATTAAAGGCGTGCGCCACCAACGCCCGGCCGGTGGTTTCATTTTTAAGATGGTCTTGAATTAGTGAGCTCCAGTGATCTTTCTGCCTCAGCCCCTAAGTAGGTAAAAATACTGGTGAATGCCACTCACACCTACAGACATGCATGTTTTTATCATTGCTTTAAATATATATACACATATAAGTGTGCCTATACACAGGTATTTGTTTATATACTCTTATCTGTGATTTTTTTTTTTAATTAACAGCTTCAGGCAATGTTTGGCTGGACCAAGTTGAAGAAAGGTTTGACAGTAGACAGAGGGACACATAACCTTCTAGATAATTATGACTTTACCCCAGCAACAAAACAGAGCCATGGAAATTTAAGCAGGAAACCACAGGATAATTCAACCACCAAACACCCTTTCATGAATATATCCAATCACCTTAGACTCAGTAGCTAATATCTTTCCCTCAAAACTTATTTTTGCATTCAATTTTAGTTTTAGCATCTAACCACTTCTGGCATGAATCAGGTATGCAATAAAATAAGCATCTGATGATCGGATGGATGTCATAAAGAAATTTCCTTGAAAGAGTACACAAAGAAAACACAAATAACGGTTGGAGATGAAGCTCAGTTGGCAGAACGCTTCGATTTGGGCTGGGGGTGTAGGTTAGTCAGCAGAATGTTTATCTACCATGCACAAAGCCATGGGTTCTATTCTCAGTACCACATGAACCAAGCACGGTGGAATGCATCTATAATCCCAGTGCTTGGGAAATAGAAGGATCCCAAGTTCAAGGTCATCATCACCTACATGGTAAAGTCAAAGCTAACCTGGGCTGAGAGAGGGAGAGAGCACAGGCAAACACTCTCTTAACTGTTGGTAGCCTCCTTACCAATGATGACAGGACATCTGAGCTGTGAACGTAGTCAGGGCATGCTGATGTTCTATCCTGAGCCATATACCGCTCCTGACCAGAAGGTTACCTTATGGACATATACAAGTCTGGGTTTGTTTAACAATTCACAACAGGGAAACCACTTGAAGAGAAACATAATTCTGCTCTTCAAATCGTCAACCTATTTTTCTAATTAGTGAAAATTATCTGTTATCATCAGGTTTACTTATATCATGCTACTACTATTCTGACTTGTTGGTCAAACATGTAGACTACAGCTTATACTAACTACACTTGGAAAAAGCAGTAATGGAGCACTTGCTGAAATGCGGAAGACAAAAGGGAGCAGGAAAGGCAGAGGTGCAAAGGGTTCAGAAGAGGCGGAGGGAAAGGATCGCAACAATGTTATCACTCACATCCTCCAGAAGGTCTTCAGGCAGACTAACCCTGGTACCACCCAGAAGGCAGTCTTCCATGATCCGTGTACCATGACCATCTCCACAGGGACCCAGTTCTAGGGGATCTGTCAGCATGTGATCCAAGGAATCCATTGTTTCTTCTCCACAGGTATTCTACACAAAAATAAGGACCTGAGACAGAAAAGCAGAGATCCGGTTAATGCTAATATTCCATCTCAAATCTGTGTGTTTTTTTTTCTTTTTTCTTTTTTTTTTTTTTTTAAGCAAGGGTAGGGGCTCACTCTGGATCCCACAATGGCCTGGAATTCACTATGTAGCCCAGGCCGGCCTCAAACATGCAACAATCCCTCTGCCTCAGCACCTAAGCACCAGGATTACAGAGTGAGTCATCACCCCAGGCTCCAACCTCTTCTTACATCTCATCCTTTTCTCTAACCATGCTGCCGTCCTCCTTCCCCTCCAGCACCCCATTCCACCGAGTTTTCGAGTAAGCAAGACTTCTCAAAATGCTTTTACAACAACTCCTAAATTCTTACGTTTCTTACACTTTCATTTTATAGAAGACTAGGACTCAGGAACTGAGTGATAAAACAGACATGATGAATCAAGTGCAGAATCCCAGGCACTTAGAAGGCTGAGGCAGGAGGATCACAAGTTCCAGGCCACATGAGGCCATATCAAAAAAATAAATAAATAAATAAATGATGGATCACGGTCCATAACTACAAGTTCCAAGGTCAATAATCTATTAGAACATAATTTCTTTAGTAACCTCTGAATTGTTAGAAAGCTCACTATCCATGTGCAGAACTGGCAAGAGACCTCAATGGGTAAAACTGCCACACAAACCCGATGACCTGAGTTTGATCCCTAGGTCCCACCACAGAAGGAGATAACAAACTCCTGAAAGTTGTCCTCTGACCTCCGCAGGAATTCTGTGACATATTTGCAAACTTACACACACATACACACACACACACACACACAAATTCCCGAGGCTCCAATCACCAGACCGTTACAACTAGTTGTCAGTGGCCGTTCTGATCTTCAGATCCATGCAAATTAATGCCATTTTCCTCTTTCCTGTAATAACTGAACAGGGCTGGCCACCCTTTTTACAAAACTAAATACAAGAACATATCTAGAGAGCATCTCCCAAAGCTGGAATCATGTGTGAAAACTGAGGCCACAGCTCACACAGTGCCAACCCACCAGTGAACTCACCCTACATGCACTGGATCCATTCTTAACCCCCACTACCAACAAACAGACCAAAAAGCACTCAAAAAAATCGAAAGATGAACTGGACCTAATCCAAACACCAGATTTCTACCCTCGGGTTGTCACTAATCCGTGACATCTTACCTCACCAGGTGTCAGGCTCCTTCCCTATAGGTAGGAGGAGTTGAGTCGGGACCTCCCTACCATTATTCCCACTCTTGGGAGTCCTACAGTGAAGAATCTGCAGCTAAATGAGTTTACCTAACTTTGAAGATCCTTCCCACTTCCCGAGTTCTCAAAGAGCAGGCCTGTGATGTATCTAGAATGAAGCGCTTTTCTGCGAAATGATTTCCAGTTCTGAAAATATTTCAGACCTAGGAAAGATACAGTGTTACGCGGACGAGCCTGTGCGGTTCCCCAGGCAACTGTGCGCTCACTACATCTTCAGCACAGAGAAACGCGGGCATCCTGAATGCAGGTGGTGCCTAAATCACTGAGGGCGGTGAGACAGGAACAAGACGCTTGCACTTAACAAAACTTCAAGACAAGGAGAAGAAAAGAAAAAAAAAGTAGAAGCAACCTGATGCTTAGAACAAGATCCTCTTAACACAGGCGGCACTGAACAGCCCGCCGTCAGGACCTCATCTGACAGGTGCACCGTTTCCACAACTCACTCCTAAGCTCCCTCCAACGCCGACGGTTGGTTAGGCTGGACGCAGTTAATAGCCAGTGACAGCAGCCTCTGCCTTGCCACTTACTCCGCACAAGAACTCAGGATACGAAACGCGGGCGGCGACCGGCGAACTGGAACCCCGGAAGCCGTGGATTCCTAAGTCTTGGGGTGTCCCGGACTTCCTCGCTGATCAGGAAGGCCTCGCCTCTGCACCTGGGCTAGCCTACCCTCCAGACCCTGGCGAGGCACCGGCCCGCGAGCCTCGCGGGCCGTCGTCCCTGCTCGCCGGCCCCACCTGCGCGCAGCGGTGCTCGGTCTTAGCGCGCTCCCGCCAGACGCGCTCGCCGTTCTGCTCTCCCTGCCAGGGTGGGATCCCGGGGGCGG